TGGTCAAGGGAGCGAGGAAGCAGTGACTACGCGCGAAGGCAAAAAAGAGGGTGAGGTGTCCGTGATACTTATTATTATTTGGTAATACATATTAACGTGCTTTCGCGGGCGCATATCTACGTCAGATCTGGGTTAGTCGTTACAACTTTCTTTTCTTAATTGTACTTTATCTACTTATCGATCGGGTAAATTCCCTAGATATATACAATATATTAATAAGCCGTCCTGCGTAATAAGCTCCGGACTATCCGTATATTCTAACATTTAGCGCGCTCGTTGGATTTTTCCACTATTCACTCGGTGACACGGAGTGCAAATAGTGGTGCCATCAATTGTGGAGACATCAATGCGCGGTTTGTCCGTTGATTCCGAGCACGAACCTCAACCGAGAGCGGCTTATGGAAAAAGCCATGGGAAACTAATAGAAAAGTCGAGACAAAAGTAAGTTATGAGATACACGCTCAACGCAATACAGAAAAAAGTAGATTTAGTTTAGGTTGACGAATGATAGACTCGAAAATTTGTTACTGGAAAAAATTCACGTATGTGGAAAAACGAAAATTAGACTTCTAGCTTTTAAATTAATTTTAAATAAAATTACGATAAGAGAAGCTTCACGTTACATATTCTTGTTCAGAATAACAGGAAAGAGAGGAAACATTTTTTTTATATGATATGCTTCTTTTTTGTAAACAAAAATGAATGAAAATTCGGACGTATTCATCTCTACGTGCTTAAAAATTCCTTGGCCGTCGATAAATCGATAATGTGGAGGTTCCCGAATGATAAATATAAAATAGTAATCAATATAAATAAGTAATAAACACAAAATACATTTATTAATTTCGGTTGAGTGCACATTTGTTATCCCTTATAGGCGAAGAGGTTAAAAGTGAAGTCAGCGACGGTTGAGGAGGAGGTAGGCCGAGTGGAGAAACTCGCTGTTTATTGATCCCAAGGGGCTGACCAGCGGTCAATGAGATACGGTCTTTCCCTCTTGCTCGCCACCCTCCTGCAACGACCTCCTTAACGGAAGTAGGAATCGCCGCCGTACCTTCTACTTCGTGATTCATGCGTTCCCAGGTGTTCCAAGTCAACGAAGAAAGCGCCGGTCGATGGTGAAGTCAGCGAGGGTAATTCGCGGGGAATTCGTCGTCCGGTCAGATTTTTTTCATTGATTTTCCTTTCTTACGGGCGAGGCTTTTTTTATTCCTCATTGACCGCCGGTCAGCTCATTAAGGAAATCGATAAACAGTGAGTTTCTCCGCTGAGCTTATTTCTTCCTCAGCCTTAGGAGCTTATGAGTGAGCCCACACGTCCTGTGCACTTTGAAATGTTTACAGATCCTACGAATTCTTTATATAACTATAAAAGCTGAATAGATCGTTATTGGCTGTTTCTCGCCGAAGGCACAGAGATATATAATCGATCGTTCGTTATGAAATCCTAAAATAAGATTGTTTGGGAAAATAAAACGGAGATTTACTTTTCCATACGTGGGCAATCTTTGTGAACGGTTCGTGAGCACTTCTCGTTGCACTTCGCGTTCCGACGATTGCAACTCTCGCTTGTACGACGCAATAGTGAGTCGTTTGACTGTAATTGGGTCACCAATAACACGACAGGCACGAGGAACACGCGAGAGAAAAATAATATCGCGTTGTGAAGAAGGTGAACGAACATATAATAAAAGTCTAATTAATGGCATGGAGATCCTTATCGCAACGCGAGGTGTAAGGACACGTACGACGTTAGAGTGTCAGAAGCTGATGATAATGAGAATGCATAAGAAAGGGATGAAGCACGCTATCCCGCGGGGGAGCGTTAATGGCGAGGTAATAACGCGATCTGACAATTATTATTCGTCGCAGTATGATTTCTGTGAAAATAACGAGGTGATTTTTCAGCCAACGAGCGACAGTGAAGAAATCTGTGCAGATTGAACTTGGAATATCAAGCTAAACGTCTGATTTAACTTTAAGTGGTATTATAACGCTTAAGATTAAAGAGTAATTAAAGTTTAACAGATGAAGGAAATGATTCAGGCAAAACGAAGGCAGAGGAGAGAAGTGGAGGGGATGTCGAAGGAGCTAAGAACAGAAAGTCCTAGCGAAGGGGGGAAAGAATAAGCGCGATGCCTCCGCGCAAACTCACCCCCACCCTGAGTAAGCAACCCTTTGGAGTCTCTCCTTCCCGCTTTCCCCACTCTTGCTATTTCTCTCCTTCGCACTCCTAGTTTCTACCGCTTCAACGAACAAATTGTTCCCCCTCCGCCTAAACCGCTTTCACCCCTTCGGGAATACTCGAGCGCACGAAACCATGAAGCCACGTGCTTTTAGTAAACAATGGCAAGATCGCTTGTGTGTCGTCATTAGGAACATTAGGATTCCTTCATTTCAGCACTGCTATTTCTAAATGCGCTTACCCCTTCCCCCAGAAGAACAAACCTCTGCATATTATTCTGAAACAATTCAATTTTAGGATCTTTAGGATTTTTAAATAATACATTAGTTGTATTTATTTATTAATCATCTTGTTATCTTGTTATGTTTGAGAAATAGGAGTGAGGATGCACACCAAGCATCATGTACGTCTTAATATCAGGGTTGGATAATAACTAATTACTCAGTTAAAAGTTAAGTTAAAAAATTAATAACTTTTAACCTAACTGAGTTAATTTTAAATAAGTTAACTCTTAAATTAAGCTAGTTAATTTAAAATGCATTAACTTCACTTATTAACTTTTCTTATACAAATTAAATTAATTTATCAATATTAAAATCATCGTGCGGGCTGCTTACAATATAAAGTAAGAAAAATGAAAAATAATTTCAGGAAAATTTTTCTGTTTCTTTGAGTGTAGTGTTCTTTACTTGTATTGAATCCTTAACGTAAAACAGTCGGTATTTTTCTTATAATAGATTACCTTTTCTTTATTAAATAAAAATTTAATCTACGATTAAAAAGTTAATTATGCAAAAAAGCGCACGTATATGTACATGACTTTGCACAATTAACTGTTAACTTTAATAAATTAATTTAATATTAACTTTACTTTTAAGTTTTGTTTAAATAACTTTTAACTTGACTAAGTTGGAAATAAAAATTAACCTATCCAGTGCTGCTTAATATTATAATTGAATCTATTTGTACAATTTTCGATCTTACACAAATTGGCGTAAGACTGAAAATCATAGCAAACCCCACCAAATAAATGTTAAATAAAGCTTATATGACGCCTGATGCGCCTTGTTATGATTCACAGTTAAACATTTTTCGTGTAACAAATACATGGAAAGTAACGTGCCTTGAAATACACAGACACACAGTGTTCCTAAATAACCATTGATTCCGGTGTTATTTCGGGTGGACGAATTATACAGTCCACTTTGCATATATACTTCGAAACCATTCGGGCTTTACCGGCTAATCCGATAAGATTGGTCGCACCTTCAATGCAGAAATCCGAGTGAGCATGAAACGGAAGGGCGTGGGCCATAATGCGGAGTGACGTAAATGGAATCGTTCCATCATCCATTGGCCCAATAACGAACAATCTGGATGATGATGCGTTCTTAGCCAACTATCGTCCAGTAATAAGGGAGGAATCTATAACGGAGGATTCCCGTAATGCGAAAACGCTTTCGGACATCGTGACGGGCGTGCTGAAAAAGGTAGGTCGGCTGCCGATTTAATTACTGTCTCTCATGCAAAAATTCAAGGAGACAGATTCGAGTTATGGATTGTCTTTTGGGGAGAAAAAATGAGGCGGCGAGTATAAGCGGTCTTAATAAAATGTGTTAAAACAGCACGAGTTCGCGGGCGTTTTTATAGATTTTCTTTTTTTGCGCGAAAAGCTCCTTTTGACGGGGCTGCGATACGGTGATTTATAAGAATGCTGCGTATAATAATGCCGACAACGATGACGATGTGTGTATCTGGCCCAGATCAGTTCTTAAAGCAGGCCGCACGCAACGCGCGATTGTATTTGCTCCACCCCCCTCCCCCTTCTTCCCCTCTCTCTCCTTAACACCACGACGATCTACGTAAGAATCTTAACCCGGTGGCCCGGTCACTCTTGACCCATATACGGACACTAATTACCCGAAATAACCCCTGTTCCTCCCTAGGAAAGGACATTTTTCGATGCATGAATTTTTCGTAAACATAACGATCGTATAACAAAGCGCTACTTCTAATATCTTCGAATTGCGCGAATTTATAAATATCGTTAATTCTAAAATTAAAATTGTGCGGGGACTCATGTGTGTGTGTGTGTGTGTGGACGCTCATGCTTGAGCTTAAACATATTAACTGCACGTACAACTTTCAGATCGGCAAAGTTGATAAACTTCTTCACATATTATTCGCTACGCGTTTGTTACTTTTCAAGGAATTAAGATGGCAATATTATCATATTTATATCTATTGTGGAAAATTATTTCTTATAAGAAATTTATTTGTTATTGAAAATATATATAAATTACACGTTGCCTGGCTATTATATACGTCACGGGGAAAGGAAACGCGAAAACGTTCGTTTGCAGTTCGCAATGGGGTCGGTTGCCCCTTAAAGAAGACCAGTGTTTACACCGTCAGTCAAGTTCATGAATATCGAGATTGCTAGCATGCCCTCGCGTGATTAACACTTTCGCTATCTCTTTAATTCTTGATTCAGCAGCGCCCACATTTTTCTTTCTTACTCTATCCTTTCCAAGATCGATTCATTAAAAATCATTCATAAAACAGATCTCACTTAAAGATTTTGATATATTTTGCCATTTTATAGCTTATAAAATCTCGAACGTGTGAAGAGTGTGTAAAATGCTATTAAATATTTTATGTATGGGAGATTTTTTCGCCCTCTCCTCTTTTCCAAATCTCAAAACACCGCTATTATCGATTCCAAACGAACTGAAACTTTCGTCATAGATATATTGGAAACAATTCGACGTATCTCGAACTTGTCAATGCCGGTAGTGCTGACGAAGGTCACTTACCTTGAATGTTTTGTAGCTGGACACTACGTAGGAGGCGCCGTCCTCAAGTTCGTCGAGACTAATTTTCCGGTCGCCATCCATCGAGAAGATATGACGCGCGCCCCTTGGTAGATCCAGTCGCAGGGACAGCCGGTCCAGGAGAGCTTCCAGCGAGCCAATATCGCGGCCGGGCTTAAATCTAAGAGGCATTATAACACGTTAGAGCATACACACTAGGATAATTAAACAGATGAATGTTTCAAAACTATAAAACATAACAACTTCATGCAATTCTTCAATATATCGGAATTGAAACCCCAAGAGCAATTTCGAACACTTATGAAGCCACAATACATGTCCGTCAATCGGGTTTAGCGTAAATAATTCCGAAATTGTTATTTCAAAATTGCACCAGTTACTACAGAAGAGTTTTCGCGAACTCACGTCTCCGCCAAAAGCAAACTCTCCTTTGATCCGATATTCTTGAATTCTCTCGGAAATATACACATCATACACACACACACACACACACACACACACACACGCACGGTGCGGTCGCGGGAGTCGGTGGTGATGTTTCCCTGAGAGGAAAAAAAAAACTTTTCGTTCCTCTCACCTGAACTCCACGCCGGGGAAATAGGGGTCGCCATTTTTGTAGAAAGTGACTCTTCTCGCCCGCCAGTAGCCGAGGTTGTTGTATCTCGCGCCGGTAGGCTCGTGCTGCCGGCTCTTGGGCCTCGGCTGCTCCGACTGCTCCGGAGGCGGCATGCGGGGACTGGAGGGTCTGCTTTGCCTCCAGTAGCCGGCCATGCCGCCTCCACCCCCACCTTCACCCGCCAACATACCCCCGACCTCCTCGCGCACCGCAGTCGTCACACCCTCCACTGCGATTCCACCCTCCTCATCGTCTTCCTCCTCTTCCTCCTCTTCCTCGGCGTCTTCCTCTTCGTCCTCGTCTTCGTCGTCCACTCCCGGCGGCGCCGCCGTCGGGGGCGTCGGCGTTGCGGCGCCGCCCTCCTGCTCCTCTTTTTTCATCGCGGTACCTTCGGGTAGAAAAGAGAGTGGGAGTCAGGAGGATCGCAGTTGTTTGATAAGCGACTTGCATAGAGTGACGCGTCTCGAAAAATGACGAATTGCGGCAGAGACATGAATAAGGGGGAATGCAACGACAGCAACGGGCTTTGTAAAGTCTCAAATTTCTGCACCGCACGTACGGAGACAATAATTTCGAAATCAGGAACTCATCGATATCGCGGAGTATGAGAGAAACATCCAGTATAGTGTGCAATTGTTGATGTGTCAAGCTTGTTCCCTACGCTGAGGCACGCAAGAGACAAAGTCAAGATGGAAAAAGGTCGCGTCGTAAACATTCAAATCGACCCCACTTTTAACACAGTTCCGACAATGGCAGTTTTGCAAGATGAGAGAAAGAAACAATATGTTAAATATAAAGTATGTTGAAAACTATGTTAGTTATTAAAAATATACACGTGTATTACTACTGGTGTGAACTATCCAAGATGCACTCTTCCCATCCCATTCGAGACTTCGTCCAACTGGGCGACGCGAACTGGGAGCTTGGTGACTATCTCGCGGGATAACGGGAGAATTTCTCACCTGCGTTCTCCAGCGTCGTCGCGTCCGCGGCGGCTGCACTACCCCCGTTACCGTCAGGCCCGTTATCGCCACTTCTGTTACCGTCAGTTATCGTCGCTGCCGCCTCCTCGAACTGCCCCAGGCCGGGGCCGGCACGCGAACCCAACTGATTTTCAGTCTCGATCATCCGCGCGAGGCCGCCGCCACTTCCAACGCGTCCCCACTTGGTTAGCACTTTTACGATTATGAAAAAGAATTCAGGCGGTTCTATAGAGAGAGAGAGAAGCCAGCTTGTCGTATTGATGAATGCGACCCGGAACAGTCTCACCTGAAATGTCATGACGCGAGTCAATTATAAAGTCAGTACGAAAAAATAGCACGGTTGCATACTGAGAAAAAAAGGCGATTAGGTCGATAAAATCGGCGGTCAGTCTCGTTCGAGAAAAATATTGCGTCCGTTAAACAAATTACACGCTGGCGCAAATAATACTTTGCATTAATAACAATTGCCGTGATTGTTAAATCAATTAATAACTCGTCACAGCAATTATAAGATTTGTGAAATGGACTAAACGTCGTGCTTGAAAAAATCTTGTTTGTTTAAGCAATGTTTTGCTAATTTTCATTTTTTTTGTTCAATGCATGTTAAGGAATCAAGGTGGTTTCCCAAATTCATTCTACCTTCGATCGAACTTCATTCTTTATTTTCGGGAACGATGATCATTCGCAGCCAGAAAAATAATTTCTCCATTCTGTCAATCGATCAAGAGGGTTGTTTTATTTGCGAAGGTTCTTTTATTTAATTGGAATCGTCTTTTGGGAAATGAAGTGGGGGGTAAACTGTGTAGAGTTTCCTTATTTTCATTGTAGAAATCGGAAGAAATTGCCGAAACTTGAAATTAAGCTGACACAGAATTAAAATTACAGAAGCCAAAGAAAAAAGGTCCGAACATACTTTTCACAACATTACGAAAGCCTGTCTCTTGTTTTTGTTTTACCGCGCGTGTTATCATCACGCTATGTGAACCACTATGGAAATGAAAGAATATTTTGTTCCGTATTGCCGGCGTGTTGTACTTAAATTGCCCGGGAAATTAGACTGATTGCATTGATTCTATGTGTGTGTCCTGTCTACGTGTGTATATGTGTGTGTATACGAATAACGGGACGTCATGTTATTTGACATTTCAAGGCTCTTTACATCCGCAATGGCACAATTTCGTCACTTTGAGTTGAATATTGCCACAGAGATTGCTTGAGTCAATTTCGTGTTAAATCATTAAAACAGATAACAGGATAACACACGCGGATTAATGACGCTTCGTAGAGAAGAGTGAGAACTAATTGGACAGCTACACAGAGAAAAAGATTTCTTAGGATTTAATAAAACGTCTTTAATTGAAAATTGGTTTCTTGAAATAAAATAAACCAACGAATATTTGATTCAACAGATAAGATTGTTTAGTTGCTCGAATAATAAATACCTTTACATCAAAATAATCTATTTCTTTTGTGTTTTCATTCAAACATTACAAGGATTGTCCCAAGCAACAAATTATTTGAAAGAAATAACACTATGTGTTAAAAAGATATTAAAGAACTTCTTTTTGTTTCAGTGGAGCAATATTTAATATATAAAGAAATCAATTTCTTTTATTAAAAACAAAATATTATTTCCTTTGAATAATATTGTTTTTCTATCAAACAACATAATTTACTCCAGTGAAACAACATTTTTCATTCAAATAAAATGATATTTGATATTAAATTATGTTGTTTACATTAAACAAACCAAAGTCAAGTAAACACGGTATACTAAATGAAGAAACCTCTCTGTGTACTATGAGAAAAGAATCACCGCAAGTTGACTACGTGTCGAATGATTGTCAGGGATTCCCGATTGATCATACGACACGAGGTAATTAAGTTGTAGTTTCCCTTCGACCGCTCGAATGCGCTTTTCTCTGGCAACCAGCACTGCAGGTCCATCGATCAATTAGCCCGCGAGCCGGCCGTAGATGCATGAGATTTTGTCAACTTTCGTGATTTCACACTTTTATGACTATATATAATTAAATTCGGACACACATTATTTGCTTATTCATACGCACCGCATTATTATTGTAAATATTATTGTATCGTCACTATTTCGAGTCTATTTGTTGAAGTTTTTCTTATGCGGGTAGAACGGAGGAAACGCTGGGGGGATCACGTGATTAGACTATCGATATTTTCGCGCAATTATGTTTATCTCTTACAAGTCGTCGAATTCCACTCGAGTGCCCGTCTAATTTCCCTCCAGATATCCACCGTTGTACTCCGCATGCACGTCATGCGTGACACATCACCTCTCTTGAATGTAAAACAGCGCTAACTGCTTTTTACGATGATTTATGCGCTCGTTTCTCATCTCGCGTTATTTAGAAACCAAGCCGGCGTCCCGACTAACCAACGCGATCCATCAAGACAGCTAATGATTTATCGAACAACACCGTAACCAATACTGTAACAATATCATATCAATTGAGTCTCGATTCAACGAAATTATTTCAATTTAAGTTATATATTTCAATGAAAAAAATATAGAAATATTTTAAATTTCCATTTAATCAACTATTCCTATAATATAATTAATTACGCTCGAAGGAATTGTTTAAAAAATGCCGCTGGGATATATAAGTGCCACCGATATTTAAACAAAAATTAAGCACTTATTTTAATAAGTAAATATATATTTATACATAAAATGTAAAAATATATTAATTAAATAATAATATAGCAATAAAAAAAAGATGTGACAGTGTTAAAATGTTCCGTTGATTTTGGTTTTTCGTAAGACACTTGATTTACGTCATAAAATTTATCATACGTTTCCTTTAACGCGACCTTTCGGTGAAATATAATCACGCTCAATCTAAATAGATTAGTCGCACGAAATCTTGTACTTTTTTCTTTTTTTTTTCGTCTTCCTTCTCTTAACCCATTACGGCCAACGTCTCATTTTTAAGAGAGCAATTTTTATTATTTATATTAAAAAAATATTAAAATTGAATTATTTATAGATATTTTTTAATTTCAAAGCAATTAAATAATTTCACCAATAAATGTACTGTAATACATTGTAGAAAGAATTTTGATACTAATTAAATATTATAATGTTAAATATATTATATCTTTCATTTTGTCTATATTATCTGTATCAGTTGTATCATTTGTATCAGTTACGTAATTTTTTATCATAATATTTATTATTTATATAACTTGTTTCTTTATGCCCAATATAAATATAAAAACACTCTTTAGTTTCATTCATTATATAAAAATCGAATTATTATTTATGGTTTCACAGCAAGCAAAAAATCACTACGACGTTATTACAATGATAATATATAACATTTTCTAATATATAGTTTTTAATGTCTAAACGTCATTGTTAACAATATTTGACTCAAGCATTAAAATTAATCTACACTATAATTTTAATTTTTAGGAATATTATATTATCATGCAACAGTTTAAAAACATTTATGAAATATTAATCAAAATGTTTACAAAATCTACATAAAATCAATGTTTCAAAAGATTGACTTAATGTTTCTTGCTTATCAGGTTACCCTTATAAGATATATCAGAGTTATCCCTTATTAATGAATAATCTGTAGAAATTGCGCTCTATTTCTGCAAATTCCAATATTCTGCATAATTTTTAAACATAATATACATATAATTGTCCGTGTTTTCTTCGAGATGCGCGAAAATGAAATGAAATGAAACGAAAGATATTGAAGTCTTACCCGCAAGAATTCACACAGATGAGATCCTCAAGGAGGCAGGACAAGTTTCACCCTCGTGAGGGGAATAAGTAAAAACGAAGATATCCACTGATATGGCCAGATTGACGATGCCGGTTCCGGACTCCGATAGGATCTCCTGCGGAGATCTACCGGCGCGTGAGGACTCGAAGTTCACTGACACCACTTAGCGCAAATTTCACAGCGATATCGCGGCTGCTGTTTCACACGGAGGATCGTAAGAATCATCCCTTCGACGGTGAAGTTCATACGGATTGCCAGTGATTGCCGCGACAGTATACATATTCATGCGTCCTTCGACGATGGCGTCCCGACGTCGAATGTGTGGCGATCGGTCGCGCAACCTCGGCACCGTCGCCGCTCCTCGTCGTCGTCGTCGTCGTCGTCGCGGCGTCGACGCCCGTGTCAGTGAACCAACCAGCGGCGGTTGTAGAACTTGTTGCGCGGAACGAAGCTAATTCTCGATGAAACGACGGGCAATGCAGGAAACATAATCCTTTGCGTTTTTTCTTTCTATAAGCACAAAAACATCCAGAAAAAGAATAATAAAAAGTGAGAAAATAAACTAAGATTCAACCAAAAAATCAAAATGCATATCTCTTCAGAGAGAACTGTCGAAGAAGCAGAAATGTTTAAACAAAACCGATATCGATCTGAGTAAGGAAAGCTTCTGTACAACAATGATCCTAGTGAGCAAGAAAAATTAAGTCGATTTTTTGAAACATTAATTTTATGTGAATTTTATAAACATTCTGACGTAATATTTTATGTCTTTAAACTGTTATTTGATAATATGACTTTCTTAAATATTAAAATCATGGTGTGGAAATATTGTTTTTAATGTTTGGGTCGAGTATTGTTAACAATGACATTGTATACAACATTTGGAACTATATATTTTAAAACGTTACTTGTTATAAATCATTGTAATAACGTTAATGATCTCTTGTCTACTGGGAATACAAACAAAATTTTTGACTGTTCTCTCCACGATAGTGCCTAACTTTATAGTTCGAACAATATATTCGAACAATATATTCTAATAATATTTCCTTGCAGATTATCGTCACACTTACAGCCAGCTTTCTCGCATTGTCTTCAAAGATATCATGTTTTATAAAAAAATCTTGTTTTCCTTGAAATTAAATTAAACAGAAAGTGAGTAAAACTGATAATTGATCTCAAAATTGCAAAACAGGATCGTGTAGAAATGAAATAGATTTATGCGAGCAAACAAATACTCACCGGTAATGGTATACGTGGAAAAAGAAATGGTATTTATCGCGCCATCGTATCGATGTTCGGAGGTTAGGGAAAAGTTTTTCCACTGTAATTACATATACTCGGTATAATCGTCGTGCGATTTTAAGCAGGTCAACAGGCTTCCGTGTTGCCGATAATAACCTTTATAATACGAACAGGTACAGTTTAATAACCATAAAGAGAAAGAGAAGGAAGAAAAGAAGGAAAAAAGAGAGAGAGAGAGAGAGAGAGAATAGAAAATATTTCTGTGTATATATATATATATATATTTGCATGCATTTTAAGAATTGAAGGAATTAAAAGAAGAATATAATTATATCACCTATAAATTACATTTGCAAAACTGATATTACAAGAATATTATAAAACTTGTGAATGTTATTTAAAAAAAAGAAACTTTTTTCTGCTTTCGCTCTCACTCTTTCTCGGCCATTCGAAACATACTTCTACACAATGAACATATCTCCGATGACGAATCAACGGCACGAATACACGAGCTCTAAGTCTCAGGACGGATCAGATTTTCACCGGGAAAGGACATTCTCGAGAATATCGATCGCGACGCGCGTCGATAATCGAGCAAGGTCGTTAGCCGAAAGAAAGCGGGCACTGGGAACGAAGGAAGTTAATCTCAATAAGATTAGGTTAAGGTAAAAGGAGAGAGAAATCAATGACAAAATGACAAAAATAACACCTTTTCAATATCTGTCTCTCCATTCCTCCTTGCGACAACTTGATCGTATGTACACCGGTTTCACTTTGAATGCAAAAATGAGCAATTTCAGCGAAATATAGAAAGAATAGCCTGTGTTCTTCTCGTGGTTCCGTAAGATAAGCAGCCCGATCGACGGCCATTTGGAGCAAATGTCACGGCATTGCATGCTGAGATCCTTAGCTAACTTCAATATGGTAAATAGCTCGGATATTCAGCCCGATATGTAAAGGATAAAGCACGAACGCGCCGAATAATAGGCGATACTGTAGATAGTAGATTTGCGGGCGAATTTAAAAGCTCCAAAATCCCTCTCGCGACCTCTCGAGTATTCCGTGTTGAACTTGATCGTTAATGTATTAAAATTATGCTATATAACTAATATATGCCTGCTAAGTACGCGTGTCTAGGATATGTATTTTTTACTACATAAAAGTAATAAAATAACACGATATGTGAGCGGAGTGTTTTTACAAATATTTATTTTCAATATTTTTTTAGACAAGTCGTTTGCAAATTGTTCATTTTATTTCTTCTTCTATTCGTCATTATCGATTTCTATAACTTTTTTATTTTTCTTTTTCCTTTTCTCCTTCACTGACTCAGTTTGCCCCTCTTTTGATTTTTTAACATCATCATCAATTTCCACCACTTCCTCATGTTCCTTCTTTTCCTTCTTTTTCTTTTTCTTCTTTGACGATGTACTACTAACTTCTTCATCTTGCTCCATTTCTTCAACATCGCAGATTTCTATTGTTTCTTTATTTTTCTCATTGTCCTCTACTTGAGACGCATCTTCATTATCATTTAATTTCCTTTTCCTTTTCGACTTCTTCGATTTTGCAGTTTGTGGTGTATCTTCCGACTCATTCAGTGTTGCTTTTTCGTTATCAATAACATCTCCTGGTTCATCGACTTTTCCGTTCTTCGTTTCCACATTTTTCTCAAATTCACCAGCTTGCCCCGATGTTTCATCCGTTTGCTCATCAATCATTGAGCTCTTATGTTTCTTCTTGCCGCGCTTTTTCTTCTTGCGTGACACTTTCTTCGTTATTTTTCCGTCATTCTCCGTAATATTGTTCTCTTCAGCGTTTAAATTTGATCGGTCGAGATTTGCATTACCTCCCTTGCGTTTACACTCCGGTAAGGGCACTTCGAAATTTCTTTCAAACATTGCCACGAAGAAGCCATTACAGAGATCAACGTCTGGCTTCGAATACAAGCATTTGTCGCCACATTGATATTCCGGCGAACTGAAATTCAGCCAGTTCTCTTTTAGCATGTCTTTAATCGATACCAGGCGGTAAGCGTCTCCGACATTACCGAGAACTTCGTCAATCACTTTTTCGTTCTCCTCGGGATGGACAGAACAAGTGCTGTAGATCACTCTCTTCACATTCGGAAAGTTCAAGAGAGCATATCTGAGTAGATAAACTTGAATGGATTGCAGATTTTGCAGACGTTCCGGTTCAACTTCACCGTCTACGTTGCTCAGTTTCGGCCTGTCGATAATACCTGAAGCCAAGATTAATACAATTAATTAATACGATAGATAATTATGATAGCATATTTTGCAGTTAGTCAGACGCGATCAGATCGACATATCGATCGTTACGTGTGCAGCGCTGGTACATAATAAGATAAATGAATTTCTGCAAATACATTTCTAATGAAATAATAAAAAAAAGATCTCTACCTGATCCAGAGCAACTAGGATCGACCAGAACGTAATGTACGCGGTGGCACTCTTTAGGGTTGAAAGTCAAAGCATCTTGATTGTGAGGTTCCACGCAGGAAGAATGAGTTAACTCAATCTGCTCACGCAGAGTCTCGAATCTCCTCTTGTCAATCTCCACGGCATAAATCGTCCTGAAAGTAATTTATATTACAAATTGTAACTTTTATAATCTTAGAAATTTCTCGTAAAACCTCTGACATTTTAATATTTGATTTTAAAAACGCATTCTAAATATGTGAAAGAGTGGTTTTTGTGTAAATCCGCTTCAAACATGTGAGTATATAATTAATAAAATGAGAAAGCCGTCGGAAAGCAGAATAATACCCTTTGTTTTGCAGTTTCGCCGCCAAGTGTGTGGACTTCATACCGGGTGCAGCACATAAGTCCACCACGTGAGAATTTTCCTTGGGATCCAGTAGATGTGCTGGCAAGCAACTAGCCTAAAGATCAGATTCGAACAAAATATCCTAAATGAAAACTCGATGATTATAAACAAAGAAGGAAATATAGCTGAAGACCAATGCCAGGCAACAAACCGCAGATAATAATGATGCGAGACAATTAATTCCTAAATAAATAACATTTGGTCCCTTTACCTTATCCTGGAGGATGAGTTTGCCATTCCTGTAGCCGGCATGATCGTAAAAAGATGTCGATGAAGGGAAAGCTAGTACTTCTGGTACGTGAAAATCTTGCAAGAAGTACGGTTCCGATAGCAACGCTAAAGATTGCAAATATGAGGAGTACGATTCACTTTTAGTTAATAACTTCCATCCCTCCTCTTTAAACAAGGAGATTGCTTCTCTGATTGATAACAGAAGTGTATTAACACGCACGTATCTAGGTCTTTGCACTGAAAAAAAAGAAAATTCGCTTTAAGAGAAAAAGAAAAAAATATAAATAAAATATCTATAAAATATATATATATAGTAACTATACATATATATATTCTGACTTTGTGGAAAGAGAAGGAAGGAATAGATAGTAGAAAAATCACAAAAAATGCAGCTAAAATGAACAAATTTCTCTCAACTTTTCTCAACTTTTCTATTAAAAAAAGGAATGATATATTATATTTTTACTTATATTTTATATTCTATATTTTTTATTGTTTTTACAAAAATTATATATCCAACAATTTGTAGATTATTATATATATTCTATTCTTATATATATATATATTCTGGATATTAAAAAAAATGGTTGTGAAAGATCTATCCCTATTAGCTGCATTTTCTGTACTTTCTTTCAATTCTTCTTTTCC